CTTGGAAAACAACAATTCAAAGCCCAGATTCTTATGAAACTGATGATTCTCACAATAGACAAGACTTCATTCAAAAGTTTCGCAGAGCATTCAAAATTTGTAATGAAATGTGAGGCCTCCTCTGGAGTAAGTAGTCCTTCCCCCAGCCCCAGGCATTGTCCTCTCAACTCTTCAGGGAAGGGAGCTGGTGATAAGACAAAGCAAAAGGATTGTGAGTCTCTCTTGGCAGACAGGAAGGCTAGTCAGCAACACTTGGCAATACAAGTGTCTGTGGTGTCATCCCTAGGCTGAGCAGCATTTGTGGTTAACCTTGTTCTCCCTGGTCAGGATGCAGAGCTGGACATTGTATCACAGCCCAAGGTAGCATGACCAGGGTTGGAGAGGGGGTGACATTAAATTAAGAAAATAAGAAATGAGACAGACAAAAGACAAAGTCTGCAACAGCAGGCAGTCAGAGAGAAGCTCCCTTCTCTGAGGAAGGAGGTTGACTAGAAGGCTCGCTGTCTCAACCTTTTACTGAAATGCTTGAGTCAAATTACAGAATTTGATGCGACACAAATGTTGATAGCTCTATCCCATATTGATGTTAGCCAGTCAATGTTTGAGGATCGGGAAGCAACAACGTGACCCAAGCACAGAAGTCAGTATGTGGTTGCCTCAAGGATATCCTAAACCACACAGTCATGTAGCCTTGGACCATTGCTCAGCTGTGGACCTTTGCCCACAGGCCTCAACCTTGCTCTGGGACTTTCCTCAACTCACAGACCATTGTGTGCAGAGCTTGACTTTGATTTTTGGAATCAGTAGTCTTTGAACTCAAGATTCTAGACAGTCTATCCTTCTCTTCTTTTTCAGATCATGCTGTTAAATTTTAAAGCTGCCACAGGTTGAGACTCAGTTTATGACAAAGGAGGTATGAGAGTGAGCATATGAAGTTCACATGTACCACATGTCATGCTACCTAAGAGCAATAGGCAACATGTTAGAGAAAGTCTTTACAAGGATAGCGAACCATCAAGATGAAAGACACACTTAGTCAAAGATGCCTATATATAATTGAGTCTCCAATGTGATCACTTGGAACCAGGAAACAGGGAGCTGAAAGAAGGAGCATGGCTAGTCATTTCTGAGACCCCATCTCCCAGCTACGGCAAGCCCTGTGGCTGAGTTGCTGGGGAAAGAGCAGGTATGATTAGCGACAAGCACTTCCTACAGCTTTGCTCACAGTAACAAAACTTTGGGCTCATCTTCTCTTCAGGGTGTTCTCTAGTCTCTACCAGAAAAGTTAATATTGGCAGTTACCTTGGTGAGGTTTTCTAGTTGCCTGTCAGGGGTAAACACAGACACTAAAGCAAGACTCCCAGAGACCAGTTTCCTGTATTTGCAGAGTGCAGCTTATCCCATGACAGAAGCTAAGTTCCATGTCTTCTTCCTATAACCTCTTATGCTTTCTCTCTCTTCTAGCCACTCCCAAGTCTTACTTCTCTCTTTTAAGGACTAATCAAAGTTTTCTCACTCCAAAATTCTGATGGGATAGACAGAGGCAGGAAGAGGGACTTGATAGGAATGCTTGCCCCATGGTAGTCTCTTAGAGCTGTCACCACATCCCTTGTGTGGAGGTGGGGTGTTTTTTCTGACACCTGGGTGAGGGATAGTGGCAAGATCGTGGAGTGAATGAAGGACAATGTTTTTCAAACTGCAGATAACACCATAATCACATAAATGACTATGAATTCACTTATCCTGGGATCAAGACTGAAGAATTGCAACTTAGTCCTAAAAGGGGGAGAAGCTGGAACACAAAAAACTAGCAAGCATTGCAGATGACAGGGATGAGAAGTGTTTTCTCTTATAATTGCTATTTGCACTCTTAGGTTTGTTGTATTGTAAGGTACACAGCTTATACTATGACTCATGGTACAAAAATCAGAAAGCCACTGGCAGCAGTTAAGTGTCTGGGTGCTAATGGTCACAGCATTGTCATAAAGTAAATAATGTGCTTTTATATGGTACCTGAAACAGAATCAGGGTTCTGTAGTCATCATCTGTCATGTGAATGAGACTTCTGGAGCTTTGGGAATCCTGTTCATCTCTGAAAATGACAAGCTACCATCCCACTATAGCAAGACAGAGCCATAACTACCACAAGAAGATAGAAGTGCTGATGAGTGACCCCTTAGGCCTGATTAATGGATTGGTTTTCTGAAACTCTCCAGTGCTCCTTTTCTTTCCTGGGGCAAACCCTGAAGACTGGGATTGGGGTAGTAGTGGGACAATGGGCTAATATCTCTACAGTCAGGGTCCTGGGTGATCAAGTGGGGTAGAAGCTAATGCCAGCCACATCTCCACCAATCTGTGCTGGACATGAGGCATACAGTCTGCTTGTTGGCTTGGCTGCTTTGTTGGGTATAATCAAGCTCTTAGACCACAATCACACCATTATTCTTTGGTATCCAATGGGGTTTGGTTCCTGGATCCCCTGATGACACTCAAATGTACAGATGCTAAAGTTCTCTCTGTAACAAGGCATGGGGTTATCATAGAGTCTGAACACATCCCACTCTATATTTCAGATCAAAACTACATCACTTACAATATTTCATTCAACATAAATCTTTGGAAGCAGGCATTACACTGTATTGTTTAGGAGATAATGACAACCAAAAGTCTACACTTTCAGTATAGACACCATTTGCTCTATGGTTGGTTGTTTATCAACAGACAGAACCTGTAGACGAAAAGGGATAAATGTAAGCAATTTTACAGCTTTGGCAGACTGGGAGTTGTAACAGCTTTTAAGGGCTTTGAAAGCCAGCCTACAGATCTTAAGTTTTATCCCAAGGGAGTTGGGAGAATGAAAGAAGGTTGTCTTTTAATTGTAAACTATGCATATTAAGCACTTCTCTTTTCCTTTGGCATTTTTCCCCCAAATGTGATGTATTGTTTTTCTTATCATCATATCATAAACATTACATTTTGTTTTCTATATTCACTTTAGTAATGATTCAAATATATTTTCCTCTGTGTTCATGTGGGCTTATTTTTAGTGATGATATCTTATATCTGGCTACTGTTGCACATTTATAGTTTTATTGTATTTATAAGGAACCATGAACACACGTAGTCGCATATATATAGCGTGGGATGGACAGGATCAATAAAGTGCTGAAGGCATAAAATCTGAGGAAGGACCTACCTTGTGGTATGGAGTGTTGTATCTCTGTAGGACATTAGCACCCCTCAGACACAGCCTTATACCTACAGTGTGGGTGTGTTTCTTCTAAATTATTGCCTTGTGAAGTATTTCCCTTGGTAAGAGATTCCTGTTTCAGAGTACTTTAAGATTCCATTTGCTGGTGTGTTTCTCAAAAAGATTCCATTGACGATTTCTGTGGGGTTTGTTTGTTTTGTTTTGATTTTGGTGTTTTTTTTTTTTTTTAGGAAAATTTTGAAGTGCACATAAGGACATTTTAGAAAGTAAATTGTCAACCCGATATATTACTGCTACACACATTTCACAGATATGACTTTTCAGTTCTGCACGGCCAAGTCAGAATACTCTGGTTTGAGAGAAGCAGTTGACCTTCACATTCAATTTTTATGGAAACACCAGCCAAGCCTCGGATAACAAGTCCCCATCCCTAAGAGAGGACCCTTTTGTCTACACCATCTTCCTTCAAGCTGTCTCATTTTCACTAGAGATTCCTGTCTGCGTATGGACAGTTCCCTGAGAGCAGAGACCTCAGGGAGGAAGGGCAGTGAGCCAGGTGCTGATTTACACACAGCAAGTTAGCTTGACACTGAAATGCAGATGGTATTACTTATGGACAAAGTACCAGATTTCCCCAGAACAACAGTTTGTACAAAAGTCAAATGGAAAAGTATCTGGACCAGCTTGTTCTGTATGAATTTTTCTGGAGGAGGACACTTAAAGATGACACTAACTGGAAAATCACCAGAGTCGAGAGTTTAGAGAGGTCTGAGTCACACTGGGCAGTTGTAGTTTCCAGCCTTGCACGATCCGGGGACAGACCAAAGGGTGATGGGGCAGAAAGAGCAAGTTGGAGTGAGCTAGACCTTCATGAAGGAAGATTGTGGGGAAACAGACACAAAAGTATCCCAAGGTTCTTGGAGCAGCTGTCTGGGAGACTCAAAGTTTCTCCTCCCTGCCAGTCAAAGCCCTGATTATCAGTGCCAGCCAACCAGAACTACTAGAGGCTGTAGTGTTGTTCCAACTATCTTCTGAGGGGCTGTAGCTTTTCACTGCTCCATGTCTGGGGAGTTTGGCTGAGTTACTGTCCTGGAGCCTCACTTTTCTTAGACTGAATAGAATCAGTTTCCCAGGTGCTGAGCAGAGTGGAACTGTTCAGATGTGTTCCTGATCTCGGTGACAATGATGACCCGGGTTCCCTAAGCTCCAGGGTTGCCAGCTTGTGGTGGAGGGTTTGCTGAAGGCAGCCAGGTGCACAAGCACAGCTGGTGCCTGGGCTGGGTGCAGAGGGTGTCAGGTGCCTACTGCACACAGCTGTGGCAAACACTCGGGCTGGTGTCTGCAACGGTGCAGCAAGCACCTTTGTCTCAAACTAAAGTGTGCTAAACTACACTTGTCGTCAACACGTCTGAAACAGACCAAGGACACATCTTAGGCCAGTTCCCAAAAGCATCATACGGACGTAGGACCACAAGCAATGGTGTTTTTCCAGCATATTAAATTGAACCTAAAACTTGACTCCATAAATAGGACTTTGACTGCAGCACTCGGCAGCTGACGCCCTACAGCAGTTTTTCCGGCCACGTGGTGCGTAGTGGATCACCGGGAGAGGAAAGAATCTGGTTCTGCTAGGACCTAGCGGGAGCTGCACTGCGGGGGGTCGTCCGGAAAGGCGGCGGGGGGACGCCCACCTTGGCAAGCGCAACCAATCAGCCGGGATTTTCGTGCAGTCTGGCGCCAATCACAGGCGCCGGTGCTGCGTCCGCAGGGGCTATTTAAAGGGGCGCGCAGGCGGCTGAGGCGGTTACGGTTGAGATCTCGAGTTTGAGTCGCGCAATCATGGCCAAGCACCTTGTTCTCAACACCGGCGCCAAGATGCCAATCCTCGGGCTGGGCACCTGGAAGGTAGGCTCTCGGAGACGCCGCCGCTCCGGCTTGCTTCCGCTCGGCCAGGTCTAGGGGCGGCGAGGGTCTGGAGTGACCGGAGCAGCCGGCCTCCGCGGACCCCAGGCCGGCTCGGGGCGCCCGAGGCGTCGGGCCGCGGCCAAGTCCCCCACCGTGTAGGGAGCGCGGGAGTCGGGGAGGGTCCGCGGACCCCAGGCCAGCGCCGCGCGCCCGAGCGTTAGACCCGGAGTCGGGGCTGCGGAGGCGGCCTTTCCGGGATGCCGGCGGGGCGCGGACCCTGGGCGGTCCTGCGGCCTGGCGGTGGTCCCGACTCGGGCCCGCGTCGCGGGTTGAACCCGCAGGCACGTGAAGACCCGAGTGTCTGTCCCCGCGCCGTGCTGAGTGCTGGGGACTGGGCCTGGGGCCTCGGGGGCATCCTTCGCTCTTCCTCCCGGTGTCCCTTGGTAAGCCAAGCCCCATGAGAAGGCCAGGACGGCAAGTTAATACCATAGGATACGGAAAGTGTGGTGATAAATGAAAATTGCACATCAAGGGGAAGGTGTTGGAATGAAAACTGAGGCAAAACTCAGTGTTTTAAAAAGGCTTGTACACATGACTTGGGAAAGTTCATGAAAGTGGAAGAGATAAGTTTATGTTTAGTGCAAAACATTTCAGAATCTGTGCATGGTGTATTTCACAAACAGGCATTTTCCATAAACATTTTGACAATCACCCATCTGTTACATTCCACACGATGACCCAAGCTTTTCCGTTAAAGGAATTTTGAATGAGAATCTGGCCATTAAATACTGACACTTGCAGGGCCAGGGTGTGACCCAGCGGTTACACACCTGCAGCCCACAGCCTGACTGGCTCCTGCTGCCAGCCTCTGGCCCTGCACGCCCTGGGAGGCAGCAGGGGATGGCTGAGCTGGTTGGGCCTCAGGGGCCACATGGGGGACCTGAATGGTGTTCCAGCTGCCCCTGCACTTGTGGGCATTTGGCGTGAACCGGCAGATGGGGAAGAGAGAGAGAGAGAGATACACACACATTTTAAATAGCAGGGGAAAAAAAATTAAGTTGAATTTAGCTGGGACACCTATTTACTCCACCCTATAAGGACAGTTGAAACTGAGTATGTGTAAGAAGAATAAGAGAGTGGTTTGCCTTGAATGGAAAAGGTTTCTTGGCCAAAAGACACAACTGGTATTTCCTCTGACAGGTCCAGCTGTCAGAGTGCAGTTGACTTAGAAAGCTGGTATCAGATTGGACCCCCTCTGTTGCAGGTCGTGCTCCTGGAGTGGATGTGAAGACATGGTTTCTCAGTGGTCACAGGTGCAGTCTGTGTCACACTGCAGCTACAGAGAGATGTTTGTATCTGCAGTAGAAGCTGCACAAAACAGCTGCTTTGCTGAGAAGGGGCGTTTCTTCTAGTCCAGGAATTATGATCATAACTCTAGGAATTATTTTCATGGTCCTACACTTGAAAATCACCCCTCAAGGGTAAATAAGGAATGAAAGTTTATGAATAGGCCTTCACATCATTGGGAAACACTCAACAGAAACTATTTAGTTTAAAGTAACAAAGTCTGTAGGTTCATTCCTGCAGATGAAGTTCTTTGAGAGTTGAGATGGCATCTGCCTTGTCACGGCTCTTTCCAGCACTTCTCATGGTGCCTGGGCAACAGGAGCCATCTGACCATGATGTGCTGCAACATAGCAGAAGTAATGTAACTTCTAACCAATGAGTGTACAAAATCCATAGCGTGGGCATTGTCTTTTGATTACATTCCCCATGACATTTACCCTGTTTGGCATATGGTCAAAATCCCCTGGTGTGCTTATGTCTGGGCTAAGAAGATGAAGCTGGTCCAGAACTATGTGGAAGCAGGTTGGAGATGAGGAACAGGTATGAAATAGATGTGAAATATGAGCTTGGGGTCCGTTCCCTCCACCTTGCCATTTTAATGACTTACTGTCTTCCGCTATGCATGTGTCCACATTCCTCACAGATGTATGACCAAACTGTGGTTATTGTGCCAGCTGGATGAGGCTGCAGGTGGCCTGGCTCCTTTCTCTTGTGTTCCTTCTATGTCCTGGTGACTGTGCTGTGTCATTCAAACTGTCAGCAAACTGCTTTGGTCTTGTCCTCTCTGCTGTTCCACTGAAGGACCCTGAGCTGCTGTTCCTTCTCGATCAGGTGTCCAGGCAGGCAAGGGACCCTGTCCACCCCAGACCCTCTGTGGCTTATCCTCTCTTCCTGGCACACCTTTCTTCCCCACGGCACAGCCAGCAAGGCTCGGCATTGCATGCCGGGATTCCTTTCAGCCAGGGCAACCTTGGGTGCCTGCCAGTGTGCTCTTACTGATGGTCCTTCTGCTCTGGCTGGAGAGTCGGCGATGGCATGTGGTCCTGGCATGGATGTGAGAAACATTTTGAGGAATTGAGGGACAGCATTGGTTGTCAATCTCTTACCCAGCACCAGCCCCCCCACCACTCCCAAAGCCTTTTCAGATATCTTCCCATAATTGCTCAGGCCAGAAATATTTTAACACCCTAACAGTACAGTGCAGGTATGTCTCATATGCCTTAACAGGTTGTCAAGATTTTTATATTTTATTTTTATTTGAAAGACTCGTGTAGAGAAAGTGAGACAGAAAGAGAGATCTTCCATCTGCTCATTCACTTCCCAATTGGTTGTAATGGCCGGAGCTGAGCTCATCTGAAGCCAGGAGCTTCTGGGTTCTCCATGTGGGAGCAAGGGCCCAAGGACTTTGGCAGTCCTCCGCTGCTTTCCCAAGCCATAACCAGAGAGCTGGATCAGAAGTGGAGCAGCTGGAACATGAACTGGTGCCCATATGGGATGGCAGCACCACAGGGAAGAGCCACCTAGTGAGCCACCAACTGCCTCATCCCCACCCTCCAAACACGCACACACTCTTCAAGATGTTCTTTAAGCTAAGAGTTCTGACTTTTTTTTTTTTTTTTTTTGCCTTTGGGAATGATGACACCAGCTTTCAGATTGCATGAGTTACAAGACTCTATGCCAACAAAGCCTTCCTGTACTTTGCCAAGAGTGGCCTGTGCCCCTGCTGCGGGGTGGTGGCGGGCCTGGTGCTGGAGCAAGCCTAGGAACTTGATTAGTGTCCATCTTCCAGACCTCACCCTCTTCAGGCCTTAGAGATAGTTAAGGGCTACCAATGTAGGGCCAGTGTTGGGCCAGCCAAATCTCTACCACTTGGAGACACTGGTGTCCTAGCATTAGGGACAGGTTGGTTAACGTGCTTGGGAGAAAGTGAGACTGTTTCTATTGGTTATGTTTGCTTCCAAGCTTGATTGTGAACTTTGCCATATTAGCCAGATTGACCTTAATTTCCACTGATAAGGAAGAAGAAAGGATTGTTCTGCAATCTTATCATTTGAAATTGCAGTTTGCGTTTTTGCTGTGGAATATGTTTGGACATGGAGCCAAATGAGGTTTGTTATCTGTGTGAACAGTGTACAGCACATTTCATGTTGGCATGGATAGTGCTGGAAGGGTAGCACAGTGTAATCTAATCTGGAATTTTCCCATCAATGAGTTCTGTTAGACTTGTAAATACAGCAAGTTTTTTTTTTTAATATTCTCTTATTTTAAATAAAAAGAAAGATGTCATACCTGCTGGCTCACTCCTTAAATGGCTGCAACAGCCTGTCTGGGCCAAGCTAAAGCCTTGAGCCAGAAATTGCATCTGGGTCTCCCACTGGATGGCAGGGGCTCTAGTGTGTGAACTCTTCCCCTGTTTTTCCATGAGCATTAGTGAGAGCCAGAATAAAAGCACAGCAGTTGGCCCGGCGCAGTAGCCTAGCGGCTAAAGTCCTCGCCTTACATGCGCCAGGATCCCATATGGGTGCTGGTTCTAATTCTGGCAGCCCAGCTTCCTATCCAGCTCCCTGCTTGTGGCCTGGGAAAGCAGTCAAGGATGGCCCAAAGCTTGGGACCCTGCACATACATGGGAGACCCAGAAGAAGCTCCTGGCTCCTGACTTTGGATCAGGTCATCTCCAGCCATTGTAGCCACTTGGGGAGTGAATCATCAAATGGAAGATCTTCCTCTCTTTCCTCTCTGTATATCTGACTTTCCTATAAAAATAAAATAAATCTTAAAAAAAAAAAAAAACAGCAGCTGGGACTTAAACTGGTACTCTGAGAGGCAATGCTGGCATTATAAGCCACAACTGAACCCCAGTGCACCAAAACTGCAGGGCCATGGCAGATCCCAAGCCTTGTTTGCACAGCACTGTAGGATTGGCTGCGTCCTATGAAGTGTCAGGAAGCAACAGGAAGTCACTCTTTAAAAATCTCTCTTTTTTTGTTGTGGTCAGTTTTATCCCAGTTGTTCAGTCTCTTTTTGCAGTTAAGGAGCTGCAAAAAGAAATCTTAAGCAGAAAAAAGAAAGCTCCACAAAATGGATGTATGTTTAGGGTCTGGATTCATGGACCTCTCAGAGCAGAGTCCCCAGGATTCAGGGTTGGGAATGAGGTCACCAAGATTCTGTGTTTCTGCACTCTCTCTGCCTTCCTCCTGCAGCTCCAGTCCCATGTTCTCCCAGCATAGTAGTACCAGGAGCAAGAGCTTCTGGGAATAACCCACAAGCAAGAAGTCTTGGGGCTTGACTTGAAGCCTGATCCTGGGGCAGGAAGGGGTGTGGCTAGACCGGACCTGGGACTGCATCCACCCTGTCTCCAGGACTGGAGCTGCACAGTGCAAGGCAGGCCCAGAACAAGACATGTAGCAGGAGCTGCTTAGACAAGGAGGAGGTGGCTGAAACCTGAAGACTTTTCTGGGAAGTCCTCCCCCCAAACTACCCCTGGGCCCAGTGTTTCTGTTTCTTGGGTGGTGTGTGTTCATTGTCTATTCATATCAGCTGTGCTGTGCCTGAGTTGCCACGGACAGGCCAGGATTTTCTTCCCTGCTTTGTTCTTTCAGTCACAGAGCATCGAAAGGTTACAGGTACAGCTGCTTAGTTTTGCTGGGGGGAAATAGGAGGTTATCAGATAGACTGAAGGCCTGTCCTGATCTCCTCCTGGTGCAGGAGCAAGCTCAGCTGCCATCAGGCCCTGGTAATGGGCTTACTCCCCGGATCTGTGTTCACCCCCACCCACTAGCCTGGTCACAGCAGCTGGTGCGAAAACAGCCCATGTCGGCAGCTGCTGAGGGCCCCAGGGGAGTGCTCCTTTCCATTGGTTTTTAGCTCAGCTCTCCAGCAGTATGTGCTCTAGCCTCTGAACAGTACCGTGCGCACACACACTTTGGCGTTCTCTGAGCAGCAGCTGCAAGCAGGAGGGGCATTGTGGTCTGTCTGGGTGCTGTGAAGGTCAGCAACTGTGCAGCCAGCAGCCCCTCCCTGTCCCCACAGCAGGCACACTTCCCACACCTGTTCTGATCACTCAGAGACTGCAAGGGCCAGCATGCACGGCCACCTTACAGTCACTGCGCTGCCCCAGACCCAGCTGCAGTTCCCATCTCCTGCTCCTCTGAGGAGCCATCTCCAAGTCTACCTCGCAAAGCATGCCTCTGGGACCCCCAGGCATGCGCTAGACTCGCTGGTGCTGTTGACTTCCTGATAACCCCTTAAATCTGCTTAAAAACGAGTGTATGCCACTGTCAGACGCCATTGTGGAAGCAGGAAGCCCAGAGCAGGCGCTCAGTGCTGAGCTCGGGGACAGCCTGGAACTCTGGTGTAGCACTCACTAGAGTGCAGTGAGCTGCTGGAGGAGATGGTCCCCACTGGCTCCGATTTCAGACAGGGCTCCTCAGCCAGCAGATGTAAAGAGCAAGGGAATGAGATGACTTCAGGATGCCTGCTTATGGTAACCTGTGCTGCTAGTCCAGAGAGCTGGCCCTAGGGTCTGAGGCTGAGCATGGACAGTGCCCTGCAGAACTGTACCTCAGCCTGCCCTTGTATGCAGCAGCAGGAGGTTCAGTGAGCTTCAGCAGCTCCCCAGTCCTTGGTCTTGGCTGGGTGCAGCCTCCCTGTGTTTTGTGCCATTTCTTAAATTTCTATCTGCTTTCAGTCACCTCCAGGCCAGGTGACGGAGGCCGTGAAGGCAGCAATCGATCTCGGGTACCGCCATATCGACTGTGCCCACGTGTACCAGAACGAGAATGAGGTGGGGGTGGCCCTGCAGGAGAAGCTCAAGGAGCAGGTGGTGAAGCGTGAGGAGCTCTTCATCGTCAGCAAGGTACCATGGCAGGGGGCCGGTGGGGGACCGGTGGGGGGCCGATGGTCACAGTGCCACCCTCCTCGGGATGACTTCAGCTTGGGAGCCAGTCTACACTCTGAATGCCCCTCATCACTCACTGGGTCGTGTTACTGACAGTGGAGACAGCCCTAGAGCTTGCCTGCCCATGGCTGTTTGTTGAGTCTTTACCCACTGGAACATGTTGAGGCTGAGGTCATGGGCCAGCTCCCCTTGCCAAGGAGTCACAGTCAAGGACAGACCCTACTTCCTACCTGTAGGCTGAGTGTCCATTGCTGCCACAGGGTTTTTCCTGGAGGCTGTTGGTACACAGAGGATGCTGAGTCAGAAGATGAGGATGGCTTTGTGGAGACCAGCCTGCTGTGTGGACAGCCCTGAGAATTCATTCTCAGGATGGGCTCTGCAGGGAGGAGGCCTGTCTGGCTGACCCATGCATGTGTTTTCTGCCTGGACCTAGTCACCATACCTTTCTTAAGAAAGTTGAGATCCACAGTACGAGATGGCAGTTTCTTCCCAACTATCTGTAGCACATCAGGGAGACAGGCGGGTCCTGGGGAGAGGAGAGGCAGTCCTGTTGGCACCGTCTGGCGCCAGCCTGGGAGCAGCCTCTTGCCTGGTAGTGATGAGACCTACTCTCTTGTTGCCTTCAGCTGTGGTGCACTTTCCATGACAAGAGCCTGGTGAAAGGAGCGTGCCAGAAGACACTCAGCGACCTGAAGCTGGACTACCTGGACCTCTACCTTATTCACTGGCCCACAGGCTTTAAGGTATGGGGCGCACCTGGACTGCATTTTGACCTCCCTTATTGACGGGTCATGTGTGTGTAGACTGTCCCTGCTGTTCAAGGCATGGCCCATGGAGCAACAGCAGTGGCATCACCTTGGAACATGTGTCAGAGACTGAAATTTGGCCATCCAAATAACAGGGACTCTTTACACTTCTTGTCATTTGGTAGCTATACAGTTTACATAGCTGCTGTCCGCATGGCCATAAAGGACAATGAGCCTTGCCCTTGTCTGCCTGCCAAGCCTGTGCACATCAGTGCACTTGTGCTCATGGAGACCCTCCATGTGTGTATTTGTACCTGTGTCCAGACACATACCCCACGCAGTGCAACATATCCACAAGCCTAGTTCTTTGCACAGAAAGAACTCTGGAGTTACCGAATCCTGCCCACTTCTGCTTTCTGCTTTGCAAGTCATGTTGAAAGGGTGTGGATTCATTCTGTTGCATTAGGACATACTGGGTTCTGAAGGGATTTAACTTTCTTCCTCTCTTTCATCATGAGCTAGTGGAGAGCTTGCTAGCTTGACAAGGTAGCCATTTTATAAACCAAGGATCCAGGCAGGGCTGGCTCTGAGTTTAGGTCTGGAGCCCTTCACTCTTCACACATTCAAGTCCCTGGCAGGGTTAACATCTGTGACCAAGGGTCCTGTGGAGTACCACCCACAGACTCACAGCACTAGCTTGTCTGATAGGAGCAGCAACTCAGGACCTTGGACCCATCTGCCTCTTTGCCTTGAAGGGCTGTAACTGATGGTTTTGTTTCTGATTGTAACCACAGCAAGGCAATGAGTATTTCCCACTGGATGCGGCAGGCCAAGTGATTCCCAGCGACACTGACTTTTTGGACACGTGGACGGTAAGACAGTGGCGGGCGGTCCATGTACCCTTCCTTGCTGAGTTCCTGTACCTGGGAGTGAGAAGGTATGATAGGTCTGCTCTGCTCACTCTGCACTGTGTCTTGTTATTTTGTCATGGCTTTTGTTCTTGTTTCAGTAAGCAAACCCCTGGCTTCCCTTGGCTTATGTCTTCCTGCCTCTTGACTTCTGAAAGTCTTCTTAGATGAAAAAGGGGGACAGTACCTATTAAACTCTGGCATGAAAAGTGCTTTTGACCCTGTCCTTTGAGATCCATTTCTGCTGCAGACAGACTCTATATTCTCTTTAGGCCATGGAGGAGCTTGTGGATGCAGGGCTGGTGAAAGCTATTGGCATCTCCAATTTCAACCATCTGCAGACCGAGAGGATCTTAAACAAGCCTGGCTTAAAATACAAGCCAGCAGTTAACCAGGTAAACCTCCACCAGTGACGTTCCCTCTTGCTCATGCCTTTGTCCCCCAGGGAGGGGCTGGGAGCAGCTCCTGGGCATTGACACAGTACTGAGTTCTGACCTGACATGGTAACAGGAGGTCATTGAGATCTGCAGGCCTGTGTTATGTGATAAATGACCACAGCCAGAGAATGCCCTTGAGGTCTGTGGCCCTAAAACACTGATAAGGAGTTTACTGTTCTTTCATCCAGGGCACTAGCTGGGAAATGCATGAAGCTGCTACAGCTTATCAGGGACATTGGAGACACAGAATGTTCTGGGTGGGGAGGGAAGGGACCCTGCCCACGTCACATTGACTTGGGCCCACAGTACCACCAGCAGGCCCACTGTTTGCTTTTGCAGATTGAGTGCCACCCGTACCTAACTCAGGAGAAGTTAATCCAGTACTGCCATTCCAAAGGCATCGTGGTGACAGCCTACAGTCCCCTTGGCTCTCCCGACAGGCCCTGGTGAGCTTTCCCTGGGGCCATATTCTCTGGTCACTTAGTGAAAATTAGAAATGGCTAAAAGGAGAATGCTTCTCAGGTGTAGCTGTAGACCCTCCCCCAGGGCCTGTTGGGGTTTCTCATCACTGGAGTAGCAAAGCCTGCAGTGGCTGTGATGATGATTATGGACTTGAACCATTTCTTTGCTCCAGGGCCAAGCCCGAGGACCCTTCTCTCCTGGAGGACCCTAGGATCAAGGCAATTGCTGAGAAACACAAGAAAACCACAGCCCAGGTACACCCATCTCCAGGCGCTTGTGACTATGCCTAGGGCATTTTGCCCTTGGCGGTCTCTATCGCAGGTGGGGAGCAGTGGCTGCGTGGAACCTGCACCAGAAGTGTGCCTTGGCATCCAGGAGTGTGGTAGCAAGGGCATAGATTGGAACTTAAGATACTGCTGCCACGCACCTGCCCTGGCACCTTGACACCTGCCGTGAGCATCAGCATCAGCATCTATGCAGAAGTTCATCTGTAAACTGAGACATCTCCCATTTGTAGCTACAGGGGAAATGTCCTCTTTCCCCCTGAGTGGCAGTGCAAGTTCTGGGCAGTAGATTCACTGTGGCTTCATGACCACATGCAGGACCAGGACTCAGGGTCAGACGTGCGTGTGCTTCCCACCTGCTGCAGGGGTGCCCGGGCTGTCTCTGAGTCCTCCTGTTCATTTCCCATATAGTGCTGGCATGTCTGTCGCCTTTGGGCTGTGTGTGCAATCTTAAGTGATTGATGGAGCTATGTGCCTAGCACATGTCCGCACTCGTCCCCTCTCTGGGCCCCCAGGTCCTGATCCGGTTCCCCATGCAGAGGAATGTGGTGGTGATTCCCAAGTCTGTGACCCCGGCACGCATTGCTGAAAACTTTCAGGTGAGCCCTGGCTGGCTGACCCCTTCCTCTCTCGGTGGGGAGGGGCTGTGGGATTTCACAAGTAGGGGGTGGGAGACTTCACAAGGTCTCTTGGTCCAACCCTTCCGTCCTGCCCCCATCTTGTCCTCACTCAGCAGACTGTGACCCAAGGCAGGGACAGCTCCTTCATGGCTCCTGCATGCCAGGCAGGTGGTACCTGGCGGAGCCATGCTAAAGCACATCCCATGCCAAGCTATTCATCAGCAGCAGCTGTTTACTTGAGATGCTGTCATTCTCTCTCTCTCTCTTTTTTAAGATTTATTTCAATTGGAAAGTCAGATTTGCAAAGAGAAGGAGACAGAGAGGAAGATCTTCTGGTTTACTCCCTAATTGGCTGCAACAGCCAGAGCTGCGCCACTCCGAAGTCAGGAGCCATGAGCTTTTTCCAGGTCTCCCACATGGGTGCAGGGTCCCAAGGCTCTAGGCCATCCTCTACTGCTTTCCCAGGGCACAAGCAGAGAGCTGGATGGGAAGTGGGATAGCCGGGACACTAACTTGTGTCTATATGGGATGCTGGAGTGTGCAAGGTGAGGATTTAGCCACTAGATTATCACACCAGGCCTGACACTGTCGTTCTTGAGCAGCTCTGCCAGAGTCTACGCAGCAGCCCCAGTGGTTACTTGCCAAATGGCCTTGGGCAGATTCCTTACCTACGTCATACCTCAGTTTCCCCCTCTGCACAGTTACTGCACAGACTGCATAAAACAGAGTAGAGGGAGCTTCAGATCTACTTGGTACCTTTGTAAGTGGAAACACCACGGTGCTGCTGACAAGTCCAGGGATTACAGAGATCCCTGCCACTCAGCCCAGCAGAAGCCTGAGCAGTCCTCAGGAGAGCGTAGCTTGCATCACGGGCCCAGTGAGATGTAGACATGCTCCAACACCTGGCCTGGCCTCTCTCCCCATGCACTTTCATGAAACTGATGGAAGGGCCTGGGCTGGAGCTGAGAGGTTCCTGTCCAGAGCCTCTGCCCTCCCTGGGCACTTCCAGGTCACTGTGTCTGCACCTCAGATCTAATCTGGAATGTATAACCCAGGGCCTGGGGCTGCTCAGGCGTCAGCTTCATGTGGTCTCCCTGCCAGCCGGCACGGCTTCAAAAAGGCCCTGCTTTCACGGCAAACGGCCAAGTTTGGAGCCACTGGACAGAGCCTATGGGCCTAACACCCAACGCTCTGCTGCTTGAACTTGGGCAGGGTGAGCCCTGGGGAGAGAGTAAAGCTGTTAAGGCAGGGATGGTTTTCTTTGCAGGCTTAGAAGTTTCAGCTGTTTCTGATGAAGCAGCAGAATAGTGGCCACCATGGGAAAGGCTTATCTATGTAAAACAGGATCTTTTGTTTCATTCTTTTGAGGTATTCCAGTAGAAACACAATGAATCTCAAAATGCTAGCCTTGTCATTTTTGTACCTTACTGCACAGTCTTTCTCGTTTCCCACAGTTGGGATCACAGTGTGTAGCAGGCTGTTTGTACACATGCTGTTATCGGAGCCAAGCTGCCCCTTGCTCGGGGCCTACTGCCAGTCTCCAGACTAATACAGTCCCCCGTGCAGGCTGTTGCTTCTGCTCAAGTGGTTCTCTTCTCCCAACACACCTTCCTTGCCCTCTGTCAAAACTGTATTGATCCTATTTTTATTTTTGCAGAGAGAGGGAGAGAATGATCTTCCATCCACTGATTTATTTCCCAAATGGCTACAATGGTTAGGGCTGGGCAGGGTGGGAGCCAGGAGCTTCTTCTAAATCTCCCGTGTAGGTGCAGGGTCCCAGGAACTTGGGTCATCTTGTGCTACTTTCCCAGGTCATTAGCAGGGAGCTGGATCAGAAATGTAGCAGCCCAAACTTGAACTGGCACCCATGAGGGAAGCAGGTGTTGCAGTTGGTAGCTTAACCCACTATGACCCAACACCAGCCTCTGGTTCATCCTCTTAAGAAGGCCAGCTCAGGGGCTGGCGCCATGACGTAGTAGGCTAAGTCTCTGCAATCCATACCAGTTTCCCATACGGGTGCTAATTTGAGTCCAAGCTGCTATACTTACAGTCCAGCTCCCTGCTGCTGTGCTTGGAAAAGCAACAGAAGATGACCCTTTGGATCCTTGGACCCATGTGGGAGTCCTGGAAGAGGCTCCTGGCTTCAGAGCAGCCCAGCTCTACTGCAGCCATTTGAGGAATGAATCAGCAGGTGAAATATTCTCTGTTTCTTCTTATCTGTAACTCTGCCTTTCAAACAAAAGACAATATAACAAAATAATAATAAAAGAAGGCCACTTCAGACAGCATTTCCTGTTGGGCATGTCCTCTTAGAGTGTGCCCTGCAGTTACCCAGCTGGAGCCCATCATTGATGAGTGCCTTAGATGGTGTGGGATTGACTCAGTGTTCCTTCTGTTGAAGGATCTCTGTGCTTGGCTTCACTGTAAATGACAGCAAGAACACACCTTTCCTAGCATAATGTTCCTCACAGGTGTGATCCAGTAGGAGTGCTGAGGGATATTATTGGAAATGAAATGCATGAGGTAGAAAGTACCATGGAGGGGTGGGCTGGGGAGACAGGAATCATTTCCATTGTTCCATATGACTCCCAGCTGGGACAGGTTCACTCTGTGAAGAATGCTGTAGTATGCCTGCTCTCAGCTGAGCTGCTTCCCACTTGACACACCAGATCCGATCTACGTCCTGCCCAATGTTCTAGCTTGGATTTTATTTGCATGGATGGAGCTCACTAGTCTTTGCGTGTTTTTCAGGTCTTTGACTTTGAATTGAGCAGTGAGGAGATGGCCACCTTATTGAGCTACAATAGGAACTGGAGAGTCTGTGCACTGGTGAGGTGAGTACATCCCAGTGTAATGGTAGGTTCCCTGATTATGCTGCAAGACATGAGTTGGATCCCTGGCTGTCCAGGTCCTACTGTGTCAAGTGTTCATCCTTACATACAAGTGTTTCTCCATCCCTATACAGTGGGAAATGGGGGCACCTGCACTGGCAGAGCCGCCCAGGGCTGTGGGGAAACCGCCAGGCACTCTGGCCCCAGGCTCTTCTGCTCTAAAATGACTATATATTTTGGTGTTTTTTAATTCTGTGCCTCGCTTGAAACCAGATGCCCAACCTTTCTAGGAGAATTTCCAGGTGACTGTCTTAATGCCCTCATGGAAGTGATGTTAGTAAGAAGGCCATGGTGCTGGGATTTGGGACAGTCCCAGCTGTGGCACTGATGAACAGTAAACTTGGGAACTTCAGTCAACTGGCAGAGTCCCTGACATCCTTCCAGCTGCACAGCCCTGATTGCTTGTGTCCCTTCTGGGTTATGTGGAATCAGAAAGATAACTAGTAAGGTTTCTGCTGGTTCTTTCCACCAGAACAGTAACAAAATTTACATTGTAGGTTTTGCCCTCAAGAAGCAAAATAAATTTTTCCTGTTTTGTAGCTTCTCTCTCCTCCTGTCTGAGCCAGCTTGTTTGCCCTGCCTCCTTTACTCTCCCCCTCCAAGCAGAACAGGAACATCCCAGGGCGGGTGGGGGAACAGTGAGGAGCTGTCTTTCTCTGCCCAGTTTCTGTGCACCCTCCCTCCCGTTTGAGTTCCAAGTTTGCACCACTTGATGGCCTTGGCCACTACCCGAGTTTGTGTCTTGGACAGAGGACAACCTCTGTGCTTTAGGCATAAGCCTGACTGGTGAGCTGCTGCCTCAGGATCTAGGATAGGTTGCATCTCCAGGGCTCTGAGCCAGGGTCCTTTCAGGCACCCCCTGTACATGAGGATTTAGCTGCTTAACCCTTAGGCATTAAGGTCTATGGGATCTGGTGGACAGGGCGAGAGAAACAGATCAATCCCCAGATTCCAGGTGTCCTTTAACAACCTGTCATGCCTGTTCCTTCTACTGCTGATATGGTCTGTGGAGGTGTGGCAGGAGCACAGATGTTGGGACTGGTCTCTCCATTTTGGCTCCTCTCACCTTCCAACAGCTGGCAGGCTACCCCATGTATCAGTCATGCTGAGTGAGGGCTGGGTTGAAGGTTAGCATGGGAAGAAAGAGGTTTACCCTAATGAAGCTTCTTTGTAACCCCTATATGCCAACCCTCTGTCTTATACCTATTGCTACACTAAGTTTGTATTGCTGGCCAGAGTGTCACAGTCCTTGGATAGGCCAGAAAGGCAGGCTGGGTATGGGTTAGAACTAATGATTCAGGGGCGTTTGTCTTTGAATAGCTGAGTAAGAGTTAAGTACTCCAAGCAAGACTTACTCAGGGCCTTTCACACCCTGTCTGTCCCAGTATTCTTGCACTGCCCCCACAGGCTTCTGGTAGCAGTCCCCAGCTGGTTTCTGCAAGTGGCAGGCTGTCCTTCCACATCCTGGGAGCACTTGCTGTTTCATTTATTCTTTGGGATTCAGTCACTTGGAGCCCTTGAACATTTCTGTTCAAGAATTAGCTACTCTTTTCACCTTCTCTTACCACTTGAGACAATAGCAGGCCACTGGGTCCTGCCTCTTAGGATGGGCCTGGGAGCCTGCATGCCCCAGGTGCAGTGCCTCCCCAGTGTCTGCCCCACATACGCTGCTGGGTGACAGCCTCTGGCAGAGGAGTCTGCAAGGAGGAACACCTGTAGTCTGAAGACTCCAAGGCAGCATCTCACATCCAGGGCTGCGGTTCCCCCTGGGGAGAGATGCCGTTTCTATGAGGGGACCCCGGGGAGGCTCATTATAGTAAAAATCTCCTTGAAAAGCAAATCTCTTTTCTCCTGACAGCTGTTCCACTCATAAGGATTATCCCTTTCACGCCGAGTTCTGAAGCGGTGGACGCCTTCTGTTCTCCATCTGCTCGTTCTGCTTTCTACCTTATGTGTCCCTCGGCAGTGGGCAGCAGCCCACAGCTTCACGGATTACTAGCCAGGGAAGGCCTGTTCAGTTGGGATGGGGAGTGAGCAGTGCTATCAGTAGATTAGAAGTCTCTGCCAGTGTTTTCTTTACCTTTGTTCTTGCCCAGCTGGGAAAAGTACAACTTGGGTCTCCATTTCTGACCCAGGAGAAGTTAAACTGTAAAAAGTCAAAAGAATGCCACTAACAGTTGAATTTTGACTGCTTAGAACTGTAATCCTTTCAGCCACACTGCCTCCAATAAAAAGTGCTTTTGTGGTCTTCATGCTGTTCCATTTTGTTCGGGTATCTGAAACAATAAACCACCTTCTCTCCCACCCCAACCCTCATGCCCTGTATACCCAGAGAGCAGGCCAGTCAGCTGTGCAGCACGAGTGAAGGCTTGGCTTCTTGACTTCCAGCTGCAGACCCATCACCCCAGCACTTACTTATTCAGCTCTAGGCTGGTGGTAGTGGAGGCCAATAGCATCTGGCCCTCGCCCTGCAGACGCTGGTGGAATCTGGGCTGTGGCCAGAGTGTCCTAAAGCACAGGCAAGGCTGACACCCAAGCCTAGATGCTAGCCCATTTTTCAGTTTCACAGATGGTCTGGCTGGTCCTCCTTCCCATGACGGCCAAAACCAGCCACAGAGCCTGCACTAGTACCGGAGAAACTGCTTTTCTGCATTGTCTGGATGAAAGGGGAGATGGTTTCAGGGAATACAGAAAGTAGAGACTCAAGTGCTGCTGCTGGTGGTTTTTATTGCCAACATTTCCACATTCGGGATCATGCTGGGAATGAGTGGGGTAGATAATGCATTAATCTGGAATCTCATCAATTCAGGTGACTATGCTAGCAGCTTAAGGTCAGGTCACAGGCTATTTCTGTGTAAGGTGCACCTCAAAGGTATAATTAATTAATTAAGCAGCAAGGGTCGCTGGGCCTCACAGGTAAAGGACAACTCTGAGCTCCTCCAACAGCTAGGGCTGAACCGTATGGGGAACCCAGAGTCCCACTTGTGCAGGCTTTAGGTTCTTGCCTCTGCTGCCACACAGAGTCCACCACAATGCTCTAGCTTCTTTTGCTTGAGGAGGCTGGTTCCACATTATCCCAGGTAAGCTAGCAGCCTCTCAGGTCACCCTCCAAATCACACCAGAGGGTTATCGGTCATATCAAAGTCATCTGACTCATCACAACCTGTTTCTCTGAGCAGTTAGAATTGGTTTAAGCACACTTTGAAACACTTTTGAGCCGATCAATAAGTTTTTAAGTCATCTGCTTTTTCTAGAGCCCAGCAAGATTATTTAAAAACAATCGACTAGGGAGCAAAAACCAAAGATGAGCTGCCACAACTGGGAGGAACCTAAGGTTTGAAGGACTTATCCCTTAGCAGGATGCTTGCCTGCAGTGGGAGAAGAGGAAGAGAAGTGAGAGCTGCCATGGAGAACAGCTGCTTCTGCCTGCGTTTTGAAGCTCAAATGAATTCTCAGCTGATGGGGGCTGAGAGTAGCAGTGCTTGTTGGTGCAGGGAAATGTGTGCTAGGGTAGCAGTGGGACCCGTAGTTCCACAGACAATTCATGCATGGAGTACATGGACAAAGATGAGTGCTGCTTTGAAGATGGAGATTCCCCTTCCTCTCTCCTCTTGGTGGCACAAAAATCCCCACACCTTCCTGAAGTGACCCTCCTGAGAAAGATACAGAACAGCACTGGGACAAAACATGCTCAAGGAACAGAGTTTTATAAAGCAGTGTCCCAACTAAAATGTGGAGTTGCTAATGAGATTGGAAGGTACAAACAGTTTAACTATGTCATGTGTGCAGGTAAGATCTGTGTTGGAAAAATCTGTGAACAGTGGCTGCACAGTATGGTTTCTCCATACTAGATCCTTCACATTGATATGATTCCACAAAACAGCTGTTATAATGCAGTGCCCTGGCTGCTGATTATGGAAGCAAGCCAGGTGAGCCTGTTGGGTACTTGCGGGTAGACCCCTGCAGAGCATGACCACTCAGGAGAGCACTGCCATTGTTGGGCCCAACCCAGGACTTCCAGGGAATCTAGGCTGTCCAGGACCTAGGACTTGTCTGTCCCTTGAAACCATGTTCCAAGGTCACATGTTGATCTGCAGGGCTATCTGCAGAGACTACTCAAACTTTGTGGTGTGAAATCAGTGTATGTCATTCCCAAGGAGAAGCTAAACTGCTCAGTTCTCAGACTGGCCCATAATTGACCAGATAGTGGTGGCCAAGAGTTTTGTAACTACAGACTTTTTTTTCTAATCCATGATTCTGGTCAATGATTTAACCTCTCAGCTTTCATTTTCTCAGTCTATAAAATGCCTCTCTTGGAGTAGTCATGAAGATTGTAACAGGATGTGAGATAATGGGACATAAGGGCCCACTGCCAATACACTTCTCTGTGGGTAGAACCCTATAAGCCTTGGCTTCCAACCCCTTAGATTAGGTTTCATGATAAAAGCAAGCCTTGAAATAAATGCTGTCTATGACTTTATAAGAATTCTTTTATACTGATAGGTGGAGCCATTGAAAAAGAAAGGACGATGAAGGTCACCTAAACCAATGTTCTTCTAAACTAGTGTTTTCTGCCTTATTTTTAGCAGCCAACATCATTTTCCAATAGAAATCCCTATCTTGATCCTCAATAACCAAACCCGAGAAAGGCAGGATTGTTTGGATCAGAGGGGAGGAATCTGGGAGCCAAGCCAGTAATACTGCTTCCCACGAACCCATCACAAGAAGCCTGGAATACAGTAGGAAAGCTTAAAATCCAACCTCTGCTACTTGTTCATTTATTTATAGTAATAGCAAACATTGATGACATGCAGTTGCAGCTGTTGAACTATTCTAGAGTGACGTAGCTGGGGATTCTGGATTAAGGTTTCTCACGACTGCAGATATGTAAAGGTTTGATGAGGGCCAGTGAATTGAGTTCCAACATAGTGCCTTCAGTCACAGACAAGTCAGGGAGTCTAGAGGAGGCTCGCTCTTCACTGGGTACACCTTTCTCTGGAGCTGCTGAGTATTCCTGAGGTGGTGGCTGATGTAATCCAGGACAGCACTGAGTGGAAGATACCATGTTCATAATGATCTGAACATGGGGGACACACCACATTGTCTCTGCAGTGCCCTATGCAGCAGGGCAGCTGGCTAACACAACTGCACTCAAGGACAACGTCTTGTTAAGACATTTCAGAAGTGACCATGAACTTGATATATCAAATGAAGATATACTCAATTATCAACAATAAAAATCTCTGAGGATCAGAGAGGTAAAGTGACTAACAGCAATTTAATGGCAGCAATTACCTGGATCTGATTTTAGGTCATTACATCATAATACTATAGTGATATCTCATTATAATAAAATTACAATAGCTAAGTTTCTATAAAGTTTTGTTGCAAGGTGATTGAGGTTAGCATTAATAGGGATCAGTCGGGCCCGGCGCAGTGGCGCAAGTGGTTAAGGTCCTCACTTTGCACACCCAGGATCCCATATGGGCACCAGTTCTGATCCCGGCAGCCCCGCTTCCCTTCCAGCTCCCTGCCTGTGGCCTGGGAAAGCAGTCGAGGGCGGCCCAAAGCTTTGGGACCCTGCACCCGCGTGGGAGACCCGGAAGAGGCTCCTGGCTTCAGATCGGCATAGCATCGGCTGTTGCGGCTCACTTGGGGAGTGAATCATTGGACGGAAGATCTTCTTCTCTGTCTCTCCTCTCTGTATATCTGCCTTTCCAATAAAAACATAATAAAAATAAATCTTTAAAAAAAAATAGGGATCAGTCATACTGATAATATGTGCTGCTAATATGACATGATAAAAATGCCATTTGACTTCTATGATCTGTCAACCCCAAATTGGAGGCTTCACTTGGCATGTGCATATTCCATGTCAGCCTCTAGGTTCTGATTCTGCTTCTCATAATTCTAATTAGCTTCCTCCTAATGCACCCTGAGAGGCAGCAGATAATGTCTAAAGAAGTTGGTCCCTGGGCCCAGTGTGATGGCTCAGTGGGTAAAATCCCTGCTTTGCAGGCTCTAGGATCCCATATGGGTGCCAGTTAGTGTCCCAGCTGCTCCACTTCCCATCCAGCTCCTGGCCTGGGAAGGCAGTTGAGGACGGCCCAAAGCCTTGGGACCCTGTACCTGCATGGGAGACCTGGAAGAAGCTCCTGGCTCCTGACTTCTGGTTGGCTCAGTTCAGAAATTGCAATCACATGGGGAGTGAACCAGTGAATGAAAGAGCTTTCTATCTGGCATATTTACCTTTCCAATAATAAATCGTAAAAGAAGAAGAATCTGGTCCTTGCCTCCCATGAGGAAGACCCAGATTGAGTTCCAGGTTTTTGGCTTTGACTTGGCTTTGACCTGGCTAATGTGGGCATTTGGTGAAGAAGCAGCAGTTGGGAGATCTCTATCTTACCCACTGCGCCACTGCGCCACTGCGCCGGGCGCAGGAGATCTCTATCTTAATATCTCTCTCTGTTCCGCCTCTCCGTCTCTACTATTCAAATAATTTTTAAATTATCTTTTTAACTTAAAATCCTAGTCTAATCATCAGAAATACATCACACAGTCACAGTTGAGGGAAATGCTAAAAATGGCTGATCAGTACTCTTCAACACTGTCAAAGCCATAAGAACAGGTCAAGTCTTAAAAACTGTCACAGCTAAAAGGACAAGACAACAAAATGCAACATGAATGAAAGCCTGAGATGAGAAAAGACCATTAGGTAACAACAAAGGCACTCTCAAGTATTAAGTACAGGCTTGGTTTGTGATAATTTAGCAAATTGGCGCAGTCATTGTGCCAAAGTGCCTTTGTAATGCAAGATTTCAGTTAACAGAAGGCTAGGTCTGAGTTGCATGGAAAGTGTCTATGCTGCCTCCACAGCTTTTTCTTTGAATTTAAAACTTTTCTAAAATAAAATATTTAGAAGAAAGCTTTAAAAAAATGCCAAGAAAAAGTGTAATTCTAAACAAAGACAATGTCTACCCAGACACTCACCTACTTCAAAATTGTGCATCTTTTTCTTAGATTAAGTGGACATAAGAATTAGCTAGGGTATAGTTTGGAATGGCATAATTCCGAATGGTGTTCTGAGAAGACACATATTTCTTTTTTTTTAAAGATTTATTTTATTTTTATTGGAAAGGTGGAGAGACAGAGAGGAAGATCCTTCATCCAATGATTCACTCCCCAGGTGGCCGCAACGGCTGGAGCTGAGCCAATCCGAAGCCAGGAGCCTCCTCCGGGTCTCCCACA